TAACTCTTTTAGAAGTCTTTTATTAGTTCCCTCATGGGTGGTCGGTGTGGATTTCTACCTGTCACCCGTTCTTTGGCCCACTCACTGCTCAGGGTGGATTCTGCCCAACCAGGTTCTAGAACCCCTATTTACATAAAACAGGTTTAATTAAAGTGTGCTTAGCCTCCTTCCCCTATTCAGTTTTTGAGTGATCCTGATCTGGAATTTCGAGTACCGTTGCTGACCGGGACGCACTATGACTACGACAGTTGGCTTTTGCTGGCATACGCTGGGCATCTACATTGCGCTACCGCTCCATCAGAGCATAGTCTGATTCAACACGACATAAGTGCTCAGAATATCAGGCGATCGCAAGACCTAAGTGTCCAGAAGCCATGCCCGAATAGATCAGAAAGAAATTAATTAGATGTCCTGCCTGTCCTAGGTGAATTATTTGCGACTTGGTGCCGCAGGGAAGCGTTGTCAGAACGACCGTCCTGCAAATTCAGAGATATGTGTTAAAGGGCATGCTACGACAAGATCAGGCTAAGCACCATAGCATGCCGAAGACCTGTCTGACTTTAGAAGTCCCGTTTGTCCGCAGATGTATCCTATACCGAAGTATGTAACTTAGCTAGCAATTTCGCTCTCATATTTAAACGACAGATATGTGAGATGTCCGGAAGTTGGGGCTACACTGCTGTTTTTGCTGTTAGCCCATTACGCCGACCATGCATCCTGCTAAACATGCAGTCCAACAATAACTACAAGCGGAAACGGTGGTACAAGCGCCTTGTTTGCTCTGGCGTTGAAAAGCGAAATAATGTGTCACTGATGAGAAGAGTGTGTTATGTACCTGTCGCCCAAACGAAACACCTGGTAGATGCGCTGTAACAATAGGAGTTCGACCGTCGATTCCGACGATGTTCATCGTGTGCTCCCCAACAAGGTGCAACAGGTACGGTGACTTGCATGTTAATTAGTTTACAGTGATGGTAGACTTGCGCAGAATCTACTGCACTCACTTTCCATAACTTCCCACCTGGACCCGGTGCCAAGACCGAGTCAAGAAGACCGGAGGCGGGGGAGGGCGCAGGTGGATGGCACGGTCGAGCCTACACCTTGGCGTCCCACTCCACACCCCCGGTCCAAACAACAAATGGCCAGCTTTCTGACCAACAGCGACCAAATAGGGGTCAGAAGGACAGAATGAATGCGCAGCCATGCCAACCACCTGTATACCCAGCGGCAGCGCAGGCTCATCTACCGGCAGAGGACACGGCGTCATGGAACTGCCAGCGCATGCCAGGCAGCGAGGGTTATGGTTTGCTGATACTGGCATAGCACACGCTTTCAGAACTTTTGACATAGACGGACGAAATTTGGCCTTGCATATAGCCTGGGCCGTCACCCTTCAAGGTTGAGAAACAAAACAGTCGTCGGCTGGGCGGTGCTACCC